GTTCTTGGCACGCACTAGTACTGTTCATAGGCATGTAAAAGGCTGATTTTTTTTGCACATTATGTGCATTACTGTAAGTAAAAGCATGAATGAAGCATCCAGCCTCCCAGTATAGCACTGGGGAACACTGGAAAGTGCCGAAAGGTGACATTCAACCTTCACTCTGAAGACCTAAGCGGCGTTTATTCTTCTACAATGTGGTGGTGCTACTCGCCCTCCTTTTACTCCAGATCATCAGGGTCTGGGTCCTCTCCCATGGGGTGAGAGGACTGGACTCAACCCTCCCTCACCCTGAGGGGTTTGCGGCGAGCTAATTCCCCATTTGTGAGTCGGGACTTTAATTGCGAGGCGTTTGGCTGCTCAGGGCAGCAGCCACCTTTGCTCTCCCGTTTGAAGCTGTGCCAACGTGCAGCAGAGAAGCAGGGCTGGAGGGATGGTGGTACAGCCGGTTCCTGCACCCCACAGGGCCAAGAACTCAGCCAGGAGGGTTGCGGTGTGGGTTTCTGCCTCTGTTTCTACTATTTTTACCGTCGTTGACCTAAAGTCTTTGCTGGTTAAAGTACACAAGGTCCCTCAGAGCGTGAGGAGCAATACCAAAGCCCTTCCTCCTGGGTGGGTGCCTCAGTTTTGCAGCTGCAGACTCAAAGATACGCTTGTGTCTTCTCTACCTCTTGGAGATCTCTACCCCTTGGATCTACCCTTCCACCTTCCCCTGGATTTTCTATCAGGTCACTGGTGGTGGTAGGGAGCCATGGATTTACACCCTCTGGTGAACAGGCATCCATTTCTTTCTCCACAGACTGTGTGGTCTCCAGTGCAGCAGGAGAAGCCCATAGTGGTACAAGTCTCTCCAGACTGAAATAGGGGTTCCCTTCTCCTTCTTGCCTAGGAACCAGTAAAATCTCCGTGGGGCTGCCCCAAGGATAGGTTTGGTGCTGGTTGCGTGTAGAGAGAGGTGTCGGGGGCGGGGGGGGGAGGAGGAATATTCCTTCAGCATCTCTTGGGATGAAGTAAATTGCACGCTGGGGCTCCACATGGGCTGTAAAAGGAGCTGATGTTCTTCAGGCTTAGCCACCTACTCCTCAGACATCCAAGTTAGAACAGATGAGTCACACCTAGAGAGGTTTGTGGCATTTTTAGCAGAAAGTCTGTAGAAAAGCTGGGCAGGACCCAGAAGCCCTGTATCCCAGGTCCAAACATAACTCTTTTTTTTTTTTCCCCATAAGAAAAGCACCCTGTGTTTATAGATTGCTCTTTGCCAAATGACTCGTTCTTAAAAAGAATTACAGTGTAATAACCTGCATCATTAAAAAGAATTTTTTCCGTGAGCGGCAGAGCCTGGTTTCCTGCAGTTTGGTGTCTCGCGGTGGGATTATTTCGCGTCTAATGAGGAGCACTCTGGCTGAAGCCTTTTCTCCTGTTCATAAAGACGCTGTCTCATGTGGGTTTTCTGGTGCCTATAATACATTTGGGATCAAACTGCTGTTGTTTAGGTTCTCTCCTACCTGACAATGCAATATTGCCCACGTGGCAAGCTGTTCCTCCCTGGAGACCTGAAAGGGTCACATTTCTCTACCCTGCTGCCTCTTCTCACAAAACCGGTTAAAAATTAAAGCCTTTGAGACTTCTATCACACAGTTAAATTGGACTGAAATTGGCCAACAGGCTAAAAGATAATTGAGAATAATACTGGACTGACACAACAATATAATGAACCTAATTTTATTAGGTAATCGGGCAATAAATGATGGAAAGTAAATACTGGAGCAGATTAAACATGGAAAAAAATGTTCATAAATATTTATTCAAGCATTTAAATGCACTCAAGGTGACCATTTTGTGCTTGTTTTGCATTTCAGTTTTAGAGGTTGGATTCACAGCCATATGGAAGACCAACAAGGGCATGGGCACCCCAATAGTTGCACTCATACCTCAAAAGTAAAACTAAAATACTAGTTTTCTGTGAGACTTTTTTCATAGAGACAAGGAATTTCAAAGCATTTCTTTCAGAATATAACAAAATTTAGAATTTAGAAACAGGAATGTTGAATAATTCAGAAACCAGATTTTGAAGATGATTCTCACCTAGTCAGAGAATAAAAATAGATCATGTGGTTTGTGCTGGATTTCCAGAATTTTCAATAAACCTGAAATGAAGAAAGTCAGACCAAAAATCCTTTGCTGAAGTGGTTCATAGAAATGGTTAAAAAATGTGAGATGTGAAAGGGTATTCTTAATTAGTTGCACACATACAGAAAAAAATCACAAACGAAGGAAAGAAGAAAGATACATTGAATAAATTGCTCATTATAATTTATTTTTCCAGTTCCTGAGCCATAGAAACGTGCTTGTCATACAGTGATTTTTGGAGAGATTTGTATTTTCTTACCTTGGATACAGTTTAGATGGATGAGTTACCATTGCTCTCCATGCTTATCAAATTAGGAGAATGCATTTCTAAATTCAATTACATCCTCAGTGGAAATGGTTTCTCTGACTCTGGTAATCTTTGGAGAGGAATTATACACAGTCTATAAAGCTTCACATTTCAAAACCTAATTTTGAATGTTATTCAAGAGGTTAATTTAAGATTCATCTTCCTAAAGAGGAGTTAAATAAAACTGATAGAAGGCTGGAACTTGTCAAGTGGTTGAGAGGTTTATCAGCATGTGAGTATGAGTTCATTAGTTTTAATTAGTATAATCACTAATGTTGCATTAACAGTTTGGTGAGAGAAAGTAATTGCTCACACCCACTGTATTAGATTGGGAGATTAGAATTCATTTTATGAGGCAATTAGCATTTCAGGGATTTTTTAAAAGGCTTTTACGATCTGCCATTGCAGTTGCCTCCTTCACCAAAAAGAGTTTAAATTAACCATAACTTTCATCCTAATGGGATGCAAAAATTAATGTGGAATTTAGTGTGAACCAGTAATCCCACCACGATAAGCAGGCAGCTTAAGCCACAAACCTCGATTAGTTTATAATGACCTGTTTTATTTCCCAGACAATGATAGTCATTTATCTGTCCTCAATTCATTATCTTCTTGGAAAGTTCATATTCTTGAATTTTATACAGCAAAACAAATAAAATATGAGGAAGGGAAAAGTAGAACAGTACTATCGAAGTAATAATTCTCCAAAGAAAAAGCTGCAATGTTCAATAAGAGGGCTTAAATACTCAATTATTCTTCGTATCAAATGCCAGAGGAAGAAGAAACAGCTCCCTTTGACACCCAGTGCCTTGGGGAGAACCGTGAATTTCACAGCAGCAGCAATCACAACCTGCTCTGCCCATCACATCCCCTGGCACCTACTGCCAAAACGAGAATGGAGATCCAGGACTTTGTCATCCTGGCTGGCAAGGAAGCCCTGGTCATCTGAGAGTTAGGACAGCTGATCCAAGAGATGGCCTTCCGAAACATCCTGGAAAGCAAAAGAGCAAGTTCTGGCGGGAAGAACTGCTTACAGTAAGAATACTTACTGTCATGTCACGGCTGTAGTGAAAGCCGTCACGGTATCCATAGAGAAATGAGACAACGCACCATTTGCAACGCATCTGGCACCTGCTATACAGGATTGTGCTTGCCCCCGATTAAAACAAATCTCTGCTCAAAAATAGCTGAATAAAGCCCAAATCTACTATGACTTGGATGTGGCATGGAGGAGAACAACTGTTAGATGTTAGAACCATACTGTTGTTCCTGTAATTTGGGGTACATATGTTAAAATGAGCAGATGTGGGGCAATATTCAGGGAATTACATGAATCCTCCTAAAACCTATGTTAAAGCAAAATGTACATATATATGTATGTACTCTTAATTCTTGTATTCCTTGTAAGTATCTCCAAAGGAGTTGAGAGAGAGACAATGTCCTCCTACGTTTCAGCATCTAAAATTTAGGGGCAACGAGACAGATTGGATCTCAGCCTTAGTCCCTCCGGCGGCAGCCGGTGCCACCTTTAGGAGGTGAATTACTCCAGCTAAGATCTGAACCCACCACTGGGAAGGGCTGCCTCCCTATGGACTGCAGAGGCAGTCCAAAGTAACCGGGTTTCCGTCTCGGGTGGCTGAAGTAAATGTTTAAAATCGGGTAGGATGAATCATGACCGGCATCCCTTTGCCTTAGGGTTTGTCTACGCACAGAGTTATTGCAAAGAGCCATTACTCGTCCTGAATAGCATTACATGTGGATACGCTTTTGGTTGAATAGGACCTACTCATTTCTCTTCAGCAACATCTGCTTGACAGAGGCAGGGTGGTTTGCTTCCTAGTTCTCACATGGAATCCTTCTGCAAGAGCTGCTGCCTTTTTAGCTAGCTGCCCTACCTTAATCCAAATTTACTTTAGTATAAAAATGCCCTAAATTTGCCATCCATCCACCTTTGAGAGCCATTTAAGATTTATGGAGGTAAGCGCATCAATTAAGCACGAATATATGGACCAAAAAAAAAAAAGAAGGCATCATATACAATAAAAACTGACTTTTATTTCACAAATTATGGGTGTTATAAAGCATATTGTTTCGGGAGAAATGCCTGTATTTGCCAGTGTGTTTCATTAAAGAATAATAAAGCCATACATATTTCATTTCCTTGTTCCGAGCTGCAAGAGCCTTAACTATATAAAATGCCCCATGCTGTCCTTCCTTTGTTGGGCTTTTTTTTTCTTTTTAATCAGATTTTCCCCCCCGAACTAATGAAATCGCTCTTTAAACACATACATCACTTTCATCTGAAGTGACTTATCATGACTCAAACCGTTTCTCTCTTCTCCTGGAGAACAAGGCAACGAACAAGGCAACTGCCAGCACCTTTTGCTGTGCAGATCCAGGTCTGGATTGCCCCGGGTCTCCGGAGTGCCGAGATCCTGGTGTTCCCACCGGTGCTGTTTCAGGCGGGGTGTTAGGTGACTGATGTCTGCGGGGTCTGCAGCTTGGATATCTGCACCGGTTCCTGCTCTACCTGCTATCACACCTAATTTCTCTCTTTTTGCAGTATGCACCAGCCCGCTGTGCAGCTGCACAGACATCTGCGGAGCAAGGCATCCTTCCTCCCTGCCATCACCACGAAGCGGTGCATGACCCCCAGCTGGTTCCCTGCACGTGCCCGCTCTTCTCCTGCCCGTGGGAAGGGCACCTGGAGGTGGTGGTGTCCCACCTGAGGCAGACCCACCGCATCAACATCCTTCAGGGGGCAGAGATTGTCTTCCTGGCCACGGACATGCACCTGCCCGCACCCACGGACTGGATCATCATGCATTCTTGCCTTGGCCACCAGTTTTTGCTGGTCCTCAGGAAGCAGGAGAAGTACGAAGGCCACCCCCAGTTCTTCGCCACCATGATGCTGATCGGCACGCCGACCCAAGCCGACAACTTCACCTACCGGCTTGAGCTCAACAGGAACCAGAGGCGCCTTAAGTGGGAGGCGACCCCCAGGTCGGTACTGGAGCGCATTGACTCTGTCATTTCGGATGGGGATTGCCTTGTGCTGAACACTTCCCTGGCTCAACTCTTTTCCGACAACGGAAGCCTAGCGATAGGAATTGCAATAACCACCAGCAAAGTTCACAACGCCGAAGCTGAAATGTGAAGGGGGAAGAGGAGGAGGAGGAACCATGGTGCTCTAGCTGCCTTGTGAGAGCCAGAACTTGCGGACTTTTCGGGGGGGTCTCAGGTCTTTTATGGTATTTAGTACTCGTCCACAGTGGGCATTATGTAAACATCCTGTGGTTACGGTCTCTGTGTAATGTATTTACCGTTTTGTTAATACAATTTTATGAGAAATTTTAAAGAGGCTAATCAATTTATTGTCGCCCTCCAGCAACAATGGAAACAACGCTTTCTCCTGGAAATTGCACCCAGGGTGACTCATAGAAACCTTTGGTCTGAGCGTGGTATGCAAATGTGTTTTCTTCATTGTCGGCCTAATTGCCTGGTATTAAGGAGGCTCTCCATGCCTGCTAAAAGGTAAAGTATTCCACTAAGGGACAAGAGCACCCAGGTTTCAATACTAGCAATAGTGATTTAACTCTTACACTGTGGTCACAACCAAGCCCTGTGGAGCTTGCCGTTTCAGAGCTCCCTTCAGCTTCTGAGGAAGCAACCTCCACCACCCAGACAACGAAATCTTCAGAAGAAAAAGTCACCCTCTCCACTGTGCCGGCACCTGGGAAGCCTCATCCTGCATGAAATTGGGGATGACAGCTAGTGGGTGGTCACGGGTTAAATCTCACTCTTGTATCGTGATGGGCAGTGAGAGGCTTGCTAGATGGTCTGGCTCCAGGATGGATATAACCATAGCCAGCCATCGGGGCATTCACCTTTTTAGCTGCTCTTTCCTTAAGCATTCAAAAAGAGAATTTCAGAAAATAAAGTATCAGGATGGTACTAAGGTGTGTACTGATCTTGCTATTGAATTCTGTACCCCTTAGACCCACAGGGTGTGTGCAGCTAAATATTGATTTAAAACAACGCAGCCAGAATATCCATTTGCAAATTGGCTATGAGATTTGAAGTGCTCCCCTTTAAAAATAACCTTAATTTTTTTTCTTCCATCCACTTGGGGGGTGGTGATGGTCCCTTTCTTCTGCTGAGGGTGTTTCACAGACGGCAACGGTCACAAGAAGGCGCAGGCTTCTCTAAGAGCTTCTCCCTTGGATGTTTTTTTGGGGAGAGTCAGAGGCAGATGCTGGCCATGTCCTGACCCTCGGTCCCACCTGGAGTCAGGCACGTTTCCTCCATAGCCAACGCCAGCAGTAAAAATCCCTCCGCAGTAGGTGACGTGTTGAAGGATGGGGCTCTGCAGTGAGCGTGACACACGAGAAACATGGGAAATTGTCTTTGCCTCTTTTCCCTTCTGCTCGTGTGTGGCTGTGGCCTGGCTGAACGCTTTTTCGAGAAACATCTGGTGGGTTGAGCCAGTTAGTAGCTAGAGAGACTGAGGCTCGTTGCTTGAGTCCCTTGGAAAACCAGGGAAGGGGGGAAGCAAGCGAAGAACAGCGTTCGATGTTTCAAAAGGCATCTCGCTGTAGCCAGCTTTGGGTGGGCAAACCCACGGATGCTAATCTCTCCCACCTGCTGCTCTCCTGGGAATTATTACAAATGACGCGTGAAGTAAAACAAATTGCAATTTTCCCGAGATGACTGCAACGCAGGTGATACCGTCCGAGTTGCAGATGCACCTCGCCTCCTTACCTGGACTTTCATAGCAGGTCCCTGCTCAGAGAGGAGCTGGGGTCTCTTCATCAGGCTGCTCGTGAACACGCAAGCCGAGGTCTGAAGAAGTCGTCTCAGTCCCTGTAAGAGTATGCTGGGGCATACTTTCACAGCTCTCCCACCTCTGAATTTGAGGGGCTGGGGGGGCATGCTGGTTTGCAGTGCTTCGCTGGAACACGCAGGCTTCGGTGTGGCTTCCCTTTTCCCTGCCATGTTAAATATTCAGAACCAGCAACTGCTGCCCTTTCCCTAAATGATAGCAATAAATAAATCATTGGCATTTTTGTGGACTGAAACTGGCTTCTTCAGCTCCTCCAGCAAATATTCTGCTGCTGAATTAAAACAAAGCAAAAGCAATAAAACCCCAATAAAAAGAGTTCCTCTAGCTTAAATTTCCTGAGCTCTTTGTACACTGTGGTAGAGACCTAACGTAATGCTGCTTTTGTTGCCTGATCACAATCAGTTCTAGGGGGAGGGATATTCCTCGGGTATTCACTTGTTTCAGACTATTTACTTCTTGCTAGTTGGCACCTTCTGTTCCTGAAATATCTACTGAAAAGAAGAATGCACTGTGGGTATTTTGGGGCATGCCCCTCACCAAAGGGGCAGGATGAGTGTGACAGCAACAGTTCTCTGGGATGGGCATCTCCATCCCACACCAGCATCCTGATTTTCTGGTTTCAGTGGAGCAGGAGGCACTTGGAAATGTGACGTCCCCAACACGGACCTCCTCACGTCCCACGTGTCCTTCTCCCAGAGCTTTCTCATGACCATACCAACAGTTCAGCCTGTCCCTTTTCTTCATCTGGTGGCCACCCTTCTCAGCCCGTTCTCAAGCTCTCAACCTGGGTTTCACCCTTCCACTTGCAGAGCCCGTGGCACTTCTTGCTTCCTCCCGCTTTTGCCTCTTGGGTGCTGTTGCTTAAATTGTTTTTCCTGCTCTTTGCAGCCAACCAAGTAACCTCCTTGCTCGGCTCTCTCCACAGCTGCAAAGCCCCAGCTCTGGCAGTGATTTCAGAAATCCAGATATGTTGGAGTACCGATGAAAATCTGCCCAGTAAGACTCCCAGTACAGAAAAGGAGGACACATTTTTGGGAGAAAGGGGATAAGGGTGCCTAATTCTAGCCTTCATAGGCATCTCAGTATAAAACTCAGATGTTTAAGGGTTTATTTAAGGACTTTCTACCATGGAAGACAGTCTAATTCTGTCATAATTCAAAGACTATGAGCAACCCTTCACTGCCATAAAGCAAAGGTGAGGCAAATATGCTGCATGGTGGGACATAAATCCTAAAATGCTGGCAAGTGGGATCAACAATGAAATTCAGTTTACGTGCACTCTTTCAATGCCCATAATATAGCACTTTTTACAGCTCTTTACTAATGTTTGAAAGGCAGCTGTAGCTTGGTTTTGCAAATTTGGGATGAAATTGGGGCTCCTAGAATTCATTTTGTACTCTAGTATTTTGCATCTTTATAATATTATACCCGGTCGCTCCAAATTCCTTCAAAAATGCGAAGAACACAGCCTTACATCTCTTTGAAGTAAGGAAGTACCCTTCCTTTGGTGCAGGAGAAAATGAGGTCCTGCAAAATTGCTATGCAGCTCTTGCAAAATTACTATGCAGCTCTTGCAAAATTCTGCTTTCCTACCTACCTGAAAGCAGTGTTCCCTCTTTATTTTGTTGGGGTTTTTTTTACATAGACAAAATGGTGAGGTGTTTTGTTTGGGGTTTTTTTTTACATATCTGTGTTCATGGATGGATTTTCTTGTGCCTAGATTAGTAAATTGCAGCAATAATTTCATCAGGCTGAGCCAGATGGGTTGCTACCAGACCCACTAGAAAACCTACTTTGGTTCTTCTGCACTATCCATCAGACACAGTGTGAATGTTAATGTCAGATCTGCAGTAAAACAGCATTAGTGCTTTCAGCTCAATCCCATTATGAATTAAGCTCACATCATATATCCATGACTACTTATAAATCAGCTGAAGCATCCCTAGTCTCATCATCTTGAAGATGACAAAGGATCTTGCTGTGCCAGTGCCAGTGCCAGCCGGAGGGCTTGCTGAGAAGTAGGGCAGTGGTCCTCTTCCCAATGGGCTCTGACACCATCCTTTATGAATACTGGCCAGTAAGCTACTGAAGAAAGGAGGGACAATGAAAGGGTTATAACAAAATGGATGGTTTACAATAAATTGCTGGACACTGCTGCATGGCTCGCTCTCTTTTGGGCATCAGAGGAATGAAACCCGATTGACAGTACTGTAGTATAGGTGATTTATCTGCTTTTCCAGCCCAGAACACACCTGAAAAACACTTTGATCAGAGAAGAGTCCGTCAGAACAGACTCAGAGATGCACTTCTGCTCCAGCTGGATCAGAAACACCTTCTCACATGGAGGAGTGCAGCTTCTGAACTGTTCAGACACAAGCATAAGTTTTTAATCCTTTTTTTTTTTTCCTTAATCCAATTAACTCTGCAGGCTCACACCGTCTGAGCGAAGGGCGGAAAACAAAGATTGCCACACGTATCATCACCAGAACCATTCACACAAAAAGGTGATTCATCTTCTGCAGAGATGACCCTGCAGAAAACGAGGGGGTTTCACTGCAGGGTAGCACAGGGCAGCGCCCGCAGCCTCCGGAGCTGTACACGTACAACCGAGGGCAGAGCAAAACCTCCGGACAGAAACATTACTCAACAGAAACCACTCGCAGGGAGGTCACAGCGGGGGCTGTCAGGAAAATGATCAGACCTTTCGAGAGTAGCAAACACGCGGGGAACTGAGGGTCTGTGCAGAGACGCGTCTCTGCGCATCGGCACCTTCCACCCGGCAGAAGGGTCTCTCGTTTGCTGGGAGCCTTGTTTTGGGAGCAGTGCGGATGAGGGGATCAGCCCTTGGCGCTGCAGGTTTGTGTGCGGATGGTCCTGACGCTTCAAAGTGAGGGCAGACACCCAGCCCCAATCCTGCCCCACAACTCTTCTGCTTTTTGTGGGTACGCAGCTACCTGCAGCTGCTAGTGGGTCCTCCAAGCCCTGGCACAAGAGAGTTTGTCATCTTTCACCTGCGTAGCTCCCACCAAGGTAGGAAGGTATTTGCTGAAAACCACCCAAAAAATCTTTGGCAGACCATCAAATTAAACCTGTACCTCAGACCCTTGGTTAGGACTGTGATCACTCATTCTTTCTTTCTCCACAAAGGCAATAGACTAATGCACAGTGTTTTTATCCTCCTTTGGGCTCTGCCCCTCCAGAACATGCATGTGAAGGCACTAATGCAGGCAGTGATCATCTTCAAGAGAAGGATGAGGACTAACATTTGTTGCAAAGGTGGCTGTTCTTGCAGTACCTTCACAAAGGGATGCCAGGCTCCAAAAAAGAGCCTAGCAAACCTTAGTGGGAGGCAAATGGGAAACACCAATTGCAAAGCCTGCTGTCCTTCGACCAGAATGAGCTTTATATCTTCCAGGTACTGAAAATCCTCCTGAGACATTGCCTATCTGAATACATCACTTAATCTTGTAGAAAGCCCCAGGACTGAGGGGTTCTTGCTGTTAGAAAT